GGAAATCTGGAATTGATAGATAAAGGATGCAAGTCCTGATTGAAATTATGTCTCCTAGAGGAAATGGTAGGCATTTTATCCTACAAACCAGGTGCACAAAATAATTAATAGAACCATCTCTCTCTCTCTCTCTTATTTTTTTTTTTTTTTTTTTTTAACCTACATAAAACTTAGTTGAAGATCATGGTCACAACTCTTCCACTCTACTGGAAGGTCCCTACAAGGACTACCTCTGGAAGGGGTTGTGCGGAGTGGAACTGCCAGGTGCTGCCCCCCTAGGGGCAATGTGTTTCAACATAAATGCACGAACATTTCATTTCTTCAAGAGTCAGGTTATGCCAGAAAGAACTGGCTAAGGAATTCTAACAGGATGAAAACAAACAAACAAACAACAAACAAACAAACAACAAACAAACAACAACCAACCAACCAACCAAACAAACAAACTGCCTCTACCATGTTAAGGGACAGAATTGGACTTGTTTTGTTCAGAGAATCCTCTTGGGTTATTCAAGTCAATTGAGTGTGGCACACATTTACCAGCCTCCACCCCCAAGGCTTCTGTTTGGAAAGAGGCACCACGCGACACATGCAAGCACTGTTGTTTTCTGTACTTTACCAACATAATCAGAGAGGTTGACCTTCAGAGCTGGGATCAGCAGCCCTTCTTTCACCAGCTCTCTGTACAGGGACTCGATGGTCCTGGGAAGGAAGCACAGGGCCACCCCGTCAGCACACACCCACGTACAAGAACTTAAATTACATATGTTTAATGTATGCTTGCATGTATGTAGGTAAGTAGCATTTTGAAATATTTCTACAATTTGGGAATAAATTAGGCTTTTTAAAAAATATTTTATTTATTATTTTTATTTTATGTGTATGAGTGTATTGCCTGCATGTATGTGAGTGCATCCGTGTTGTGCAATGCTGCGGAGGTCAGAAGAGGGCTTTGGATTCCCCTGGAACTGGAGTTAAGGATGGTTTGTAGCTGCCATGTGGGTGCTGGGAATCAAACCCAGGTCCTCTGCAAGAGCAGTCAGTGCTCTTAACTGCTGAGCCGTCTCTCCAGCCCCAAATTAATCTTTTTTTTTTTTTTTGGCCTTTTTGAGACAGGGTCTCCCTGTAGTCCTAGCTGGCCTGGATTCACTATGGAGACCAGGCTGGCCTCGAACTCACAGAGATCCGCCTGCCTCTGCCTCCCAAATTAGTCTTTTAAAAAACAATATTCTCACTTCACCATGTGTACACCTGGATGTTTTCCATTAATAAGAATCATATGTATGGCATCTGAGACCAACTATAACTCCATAAGTCCTCATGATGGCCCAAATAGGATTTAGAAATGACCAGTAATAGCAATACTGTAATATAGAGGAACACCACACAGTGATGCTTGAATTAAGAGTCTTTAACTAGCCAGTGGTTGAGAGTGGGTGTGGTGGTTTGAATGAAAATGTCCCCCATAGGCTCTAAGTATTTGGACATTCCGTCCCCAGATGGTGGCGCTGTTTTGGGAGGTCTTAGAAGGTGTGGCTGTCCTGGAGGAAGCACGTCACTGGGGGTGGGCTTACAGAGTTCTGAAGCCTTGCCAGATCCCCAGTCATTCTCTTGTTTCCTGTGCCTGCTGGAAGATGTAGAGCTTAGCTCCTCTTCTCTTCTCCAGCCACCTCTGCCACCATGCCTCCCCACCAAGATGTAATTCCCCTGGAACCATAAGCTCAAATAAACTCTTCCTTCTATAAATTTCTTGGGTCAGTGTTTCTATCACAGCAACAGAAAAGTGACTGATACAGTGGGCGAGTGCCCATAAGAACTCATGACCCTGAGGAGAAGCAGAGCAGGGTTTATAAAGCCTAAAACACAATTACATCATGCTGGGGAAAAGCCAGTAACCATAGTTACCTCAGACCAGGGGCAGGTCAGTTAATAAAGAAGTTTTCCATTAACCAAGAGTTTCTAAGTTTTGGTTAGGAAACACAAGTTTCTCAGAATTGCAGAAACAATGGGCTTCCTGGAGCTGCATGTGTGGCAGGGCATCCTGCCTGGTTAGGTGTGAGTTTCCCAGTATTGTGGACACAATGCACTGCTGTTGAGATGGTCTGTCTAGCTCAGGCCGTAGAGCACGAGGGAGATGGGCTGGGCAGAAACACAGGGTGGGCAAAGGTCGGCTAGAGTAAAGTGGACTCAGTTTTGCCATTTTAAACACAGTGGGCCTAGAATTCCGTATTTGGTTAGCGTCTGTGAGCTGTAGATTGTTGATCCTTTGTGAAATGTATGTTTCTTTTTAACATGATAGTAAAGTGATTTAAAAGAAATATCTGTAAGGGTCAAGGGCTTGTACTGGAGGTAATTCTGTGTGTGCATGTGTGTGCATGTGCGTGCATGTGTACATGTGTATTGTGGTGTGTATGTTTGCAATATGTGCACATGCAGGTGTGTGTGCACATGTGTGCCTGTGTGTGTGGAGGCCGGAGGTCGATGTCAGGTGTTGTGTTCAGTTTCTTCCCACCATAGTCTTGGAGATGGAGACAGGTCTCTCACTGAAGCTGGAGCTCACTGGTTCCTTTTGGCTGGCTGGCCAGTGAGCTCCAGGGAAATTTTTGTAGATGCTGGGGACCTGAAGTCAGGTTCTCATGCTTGCCTGGCAACGTGTGTACTGACCAAGCCATCTTCCAATCCTGCAGGTAAGTCTTACGTGAAGGATGAAATGTCCAAAGCTGATCGTGTGATGCTGTTGAGGAGGGTGTAGTTTCCCCCATTGTTTACATAAGCCAAAAACTACTTCTCAAAGAGGGGTTGGGCATGTAGCCAGGACACAGATAATTTATACCAGCTGAAAAACATGTACATAGCATCCCTCTTAATGGAGCAAATCCCCAATGCTATTAACAGGTTTGGCTCACAGGAACACAGACAGGTTAAGCTGAAATATTATCCAATTTGCTCCTTTGGGTGCTTTGACTTTTCTTTTTCTCTATTCTTCCATTTTACTCTGGCTTTTTCTTAAGGTTGGAAATGAAAATATAACTGTATTTAAAAGGCTTTTCCACTGCCCAGTGATTCGAGTGAGTATGGTTTAAAAAGACCCAAGAATGTCAGTGAGATTCAGTCCAAGTACCATTGGGCTGAGCGTTAGTCCAGTGACCTCAGTCTCGGTTAACTTGAACTATATTCATCAGATACATTTAAAATTGCTTACCCTCTGTTGATGGTTAAGAAAGGTTTGATTGCTATGGTATTTGGAATGACAGATCCAACCTATACCATGAAATACATATTTCATGGGAATATATGTTCAATATAAACACATAACAGAGGCATGAAATATTAAAATCAAATTGACAAAGATTCCCTAAAATGACATAATAATAATCCATATCTGGATTTTTTTCCTAGAAGTGAACTTTTGATATGGGATAAAACATTCCCATCTTGAAAACTTCCTTAAAGTATGATAAAAAAAAATACTGGTTTAAATGTTATGTGGTTTGATGAAAGAAACAAGCTGACTTCCAGGACCGAGGCAGAGCTAACCAGAGTCTAGAGACATGGGTCTTTAAGACTAAAGTAGAGGGAGCAAGATGCAGGGCATTACTGTATTTCTTTTATTTACTTTTGTTTTAATTAATGCTTTTTGGGTTTTAATTTTTGTCTTTTTGAGACAGGGTGTCCCTGTAGCCCCAGCTGTCCTGGAACTCACTATGTAGACCAGGCTGTCCTCCAACTCACAGAGAACCACCTGCCTCTGCCTCCCGAGTGCTGGGATTAAAGGCATGTGCCACCACGCCCGGCTTTGTTTTAAATTTATGTGTATGAATGTATTACCTGCATGTGTGTAAATGCACCTGTGTTGTGCAGTGCCTTTGGAGGTCAGAAGGTGTCCAGAACCCCTGGAACTGGAGTTACAAATGGTTGTTAGCCCCCATGTAAGTGCTGAGAATTGAACCCAGGTCCTCTGCAAGGGCAGCCAGTGCTCTTAACCGCTGAGCCATCTCTCCAGCCCCCACTCCTGTTTCTGTATTTCTGAACAGTGAAATGACTGGAAAACATTCTCTGATTGTGCCACTGGAGATCATGTCCTGGTCATCTTTAACCATAAGCTTGACACAGCTTGCAGTCATGAGAAGGGAGTCTCAACTGAGGGACTGTCTAGATGAGATTGGCCTCTGGTATGTCTCCGGGGGACTGTCGTGTTAACTGATGTAGGGGGCCCAGCCCACTGCGGGTGGTGCCATCTCTAGGCAGGTGGGCCTGGGCTGTTTAAGAAAGCTAGATGAGTATGAACCAGTGAGTCAGCCAGTAGTGATCCTCCATGGTTCCTGCTCTAAGTGAGATCCTTGGTCAGTAGAACCCTCTTAGGTTTCAGACAGCTGTAGGATCCTGGCCCTGAATCTTTAGAACCTCAAGTGGGGCTACCTCCAAGCATGTACCCACTGTGCGGTACTCTGGCTTCCATGGAAGAGACTTTAGAGGGGCCTCCAGAGAATTCAAGGTGGGATGTCCCTTAACCAGAGAGGCAGCAGGATCTGGCGGAGGTTTGAGAAGTACTCAGAACAAGGGAGCAGCAGGTATTCACCATGAGGAAAGAGAGACCTCAAAATGACGCCTGGCATCCAAACAGGGGTGCTAAATTAATTAATTCCCTGATACCTGAACACCCAGGTGCTCACCTTTTCCAACACCTAGGGGCCATTTCAGTGTAAAGGACAGGCATTTTTAGGCCATCCATTAGGACTGAATTTGCACCGATGAAGCTCACAAAATGGGAACATCCCCTTGGAAACTCAGCCATCCCTTGGTGTTCACATGCTCAGCGAGCAGCCGGAAGTGTGCAGGGGTCAGGGCGAAGGAGGAAGAGTAGAGGGGGTGAGGCCCCCTTCGCCCCGAGGGAACCTGTGTGCTCTGAGGATTCAGTAGGATGTAATTCCTGAACCATTTGTAATGAGCATCTTCTACAACTCTCACATGAATTTCGGAACTTACAAACGGTATAGGAGCTCAGGCGTGACGGACAGGCTTGCTCCAAGTGGTCCCATGGATCTTTCAGCCCAGAGTTTGTACAGGGCTTCCTCCTATACCATTCCCACACTGCCCGGCGTTGAGGGCTGTGGTTCAGCTCAGAGGGCCTGACTCACCCAGCCTGGCCCAGGCTGCGTCTCTGGGTTTCTCATTTTCTCTTCTCTCTATTCCCCAGGTTCCTCGCACCAGAACAGAACCACTCCTCACCTGTCAGGCGTCAGGTCTTTGTCTCTCTTCCCCCTTCTCCCCTTTTTGCCTTCTTTTCCTTTGTTTTTCTGAAAGAAAATGGAAATAAACAATGATTTTGTAAAATCAAGCAAGCAAGCAAAGTCCTAAAGGTCTCTTTCCATCCTTGAATTGGTTCTGCATCTTCGATGAAAATCAGTTGGGTGTGTTTGTGCAGGGCTATTTCTGGGCTCGCTCTCTCTCTCTCTCTCTCTCTCTCTCTCTCTCTCTCTCTCTCTTCTTTTGTATGTGTTTGAGTGTATTGCCTGCATGTATGTGAGTGCATCCGTGTTGTGCAATGCTGCGGAGGTCAGAAGAGGGCGTTGGATTCCCCTGGAACTGGAGTTAAGGATGGTTCATAGCTGCCATGTGGGTGCTGGGAATTGAATCCAGGTCCTCTGCAAGAGCAGTCAGTGGTCTTAACTGCTGAGCCAGCTCTCCGGCCCCTCTCTGTTTCTTTTTTAATAGCACACAGTCCTGATTGACACAGTTGTGTTGTATGGAGGTAAATTCCTTCTATACCAATTTGTTGAGAGTTGAAAAAATTTTATTTGCATTTGTGTGTGTGTGTGTGTGTGTGTTTGCCTGTGTGTTTGTGCATGAGTGTGTGGGGGTGCCTTTGGAGGCCAGAAGAAGGTGTCTGATCTCCTGGAGCTGAAGTTATAGGTAGGTGTGTATTGTGGACAGAACTCTGGTCCTCTGCAAGAGCAGCAAGTGCTCTTAACTGCTGAGCCATCTCTCCAGCCTCTGTTGAGAGTTTATACCATGAAAGAACTGTGAATTTTGTCACATACTTCTCCCGTGTGCATTGAAATGACATAGACTACCAATGTAACTGATCATAACAATGGATGGTACAGGTTTTTGTTCTCCTTTCTGTTAATGTGGCATAGCACGTTGATCTATTTGTGGATATTGGACCATCCTTTCATTACAGGCCCCGGCACAAAAGCCTTTGACGTCTAGTATTTTGCTAAGGACATTTGCATCTCTGCTTGCCGGGGACATTGACCCATAGTTTTCTATTACTGTGGTGTCTTTCTCTGGCATGGGTTTCAGGGTGAGCCTGGCCTCGGGAGAAGAGTGTGGAAGTCTTCCTTCTATTGTTCAGAAGAGCTTGAGAAGGGCTGGTATTTGCTCTTTATAAGTCTGGTCCGTTTCACCTGAGACTCCATCTGGTCCTGGATCTCACTTGTTGGGAAGTTCTTTCCTTCTCACCACTTCCAGCTCCTGTTAACCATTCGTCTTTCTATGTGGGCTTTCTGTGTGGTGACATTCCGCACCCCCCATTTAGTCCATAGGGACCAAGGTGTGTGGGATCTAGATTTAACAGATTAATTCATACAACATACATTAAGGATTAGCTCAGTGCCAGGAGGGGTTGGTTGCCAAGAGATTAGAAAGGACACCTATATATTTTCAGCAGTCACGGTCCTTCGGTAGAAGGCATTAACGTGATGTCACCAGCAAATATGACATCTGTCTGTTATAAAGCACAAAGAAGACAGGAGACAGAGCGCCACACATACACAGAGAAACAATGCCCCTCAGGACTCAGTCGTGGGGAATCCCATAGGCCTCCGTGAGGAAGAAGGCTTGGGCTTGAGGCCTATGGGATGGGTGGAGGTTGGCTAGACTTGGTGACGGGGATAGAACAGAAGGTGTTCTTAGGTGGTAAGGGACAGAAGCCCTGTTGTAGGAGAAATCCGTGTTTGGGGAACACTCAGGCAGGGCAGGTGATTGAAATGAATCTGGGAAGGGAGCAGCAGGTAAGGCATCTAGAGAGAAGGCAGTGGCCAGATGGGGGTGGCCCTTGTAGGTCTGGCTGAAGACTACTGACTTTCTAAAAGACTGAGATACCACTGAAGAGTTTAAATAAGGAGGGTCAGACCTGTACTGGAAAGGACCACTTCAAATGCTAGATAGGGTCAAGTCGCTGTCTCTGGAAAGCGCAGGGTTACTATTGCCAAAGACTGTCCTTTCTATGTCCCCGTCCCTGGCTAATAGTCTTCCCACAGACTTCTTGCAGCCACTTAAGTTTCAGCTTAAACCCATTCTATGTGTGCCTTTCAAGTTCATCTTTAGGTCACCTGGCCTAGAACCGGGTTTGCGAACCTCGAGCTACGTGATGGCTAGCGACCTCTCGGGGTTCCCTGATACCTGTTGTGACACGGTGGCATGGTATGGATGCTGAACTGCAGGAAGGGAGAGAGGGCGGTGGAGGACAGTAAAGAAGATGGGTGGCTTTGGACTAGGCTGGCAATGAGTGTCTGGGTGAGGAGGAGAGAGGCTGCTATCTAACCCTAACCCTCTACATCCACTTCCCACTGTGTTCAGTGTAATCTCCACATTGAGTCATGAAACTATCGCCCTGTTCATAGATAAAGGAGACGTGCGTGGAGTCAAAGGGTGACACTGAGAGATACTCCCTAAAGGAGAGAGGACAGCACTGGGCCACAGTACTACATTTTCACAACAGGGCTGGGCTGAGGGACAGCTAGCTGCCTTCAGAGTTGAGCCATACACTCGGCGAAAAATGGATCACAACGGTTATCCTAAGACTATGCTATCCCTGAGATGACCAGACTTGACACAAATATGGCTGAGCTCAGGAGGAGCTAAGGCGTGAATCCCAGGTAGGGCTCAGTACCCCCCGACCCACGAGTTTCCTGTGCTTCTCACAGCGCTGCTAGGTAGAAGTCTTGGTTTTTTTCTTTGGGTAAAGCAGCCTAGTGGCAGGGCTGTCTATGGGATGGCGCAGAAGCAGGATGCTGAGAGAAAGCAGCAATCCGACCGGCCGCTCCAAGCCACTGCCTTGGTGGCAACGTGAGCATCGATCCACCCAATTCCTTTCAGTCTGACTCCCCCAGTCACAAACCCTGCCATCTGCTATTGGTCTTCCCTACAGATCTATTCACAGGGACGATGGGCAGAGGGATGGGGGGGGGTGCTCTGGCCCCTCTGATAGTGCTCATTCTTGAGTACGATGGAACTGCTGTGGAGGTACCTGGGGGAAGATCCAACTTAGCAGCCACACCCCTGAGCTCAGAGTGGCATGCAGTGAGCTCACCGGAGGAAGGAACGCTTCTGTGAGGTGTCCCGGGCACAGCCAGCAGCATGGCCAGGAGCTCCTGCCTGTGACCGAAACTGCCTCCCTCTCCCTCCTGAAACACTCACCTTCTTCCCTCTCTTTCCTCCCTTAGGCGGAAGCTCCATTTCTCCGTTTATGGCTAGTTTTAGGTTTTTTAGTTCCTGTCGCATCAACTCATCAACCTAGGTGGGAATACAAAGGGCCGCTTTTAAGTGGCTTTGCATGCTTGTGTTTCTTCCTGAAATTTAAATTCTTGAATTGGTCATCATTTTGGAAACCAAACAAATGTATAATCGTTGTTTCTACTGCAAGGTAAGTGCAGTTGTACCTGAACCCTTATCTCCCGCTCTAATTCTTTCCGTTTCTCTTCCTTGATTATTTCTGGGTCATAGTCTTGAGGGAAATTCCAAGATTCATCTTTATTCATCCACATGTCTGTACCCCAGAAGGACAGAGAAAAAGAGAAAAAAATTCAACATCTTAAGTTAATGAGAGCAGTTAGTAAAATCTCAACACAATTTTTCATCCTATCTACAGAATAAAAGTTTCATACGAGAAGGTAGAGGGGGCTGGAGAGACGGCTCAGCGGCTAAGAGCACCGGCTGCTCCTGCAGAGGACGGAGGTTTGATTCCCAGCACCCACATGGCAGCTAACTACTATCTGTACCTCCAGTTCCGGAAGATCTGACACCATCTTTTGACTTCCTCGGGCATTGCATGACATGGGTGAACTTACAGATGCGATACGCTCATACACACAAAATAAAAATAATAAATAAAATATTAAAGAAGGCAGAGTGTGGTGGCAATCGTAGACTGTATGATTTTTTTTTTAAGGAAGAAAACAATTTGAAAATGTCAAGTAAAGGTACTGCGCTGGTTAGTTGTTATAATACTATTTATATTGATTCTTTGAGAATTTCATACAATGTACTGTATGAAATGCAATCATTTTCAGACCCCCTCTCCCATCTCCTCTTGGATCTACCCCCACGCCCTCTGTTATTTTCTAAGGGTCTGTTGAGTCTCATTTGTGTTCCTTAGATCGTGCTGGTTAGTTTTTAATTGTCAACTTGACACAACACAGCTTCAGCCGAGAGGACAGCCCAGTTGGGGACTGTCTAGGGCAGGTTGGCCTGTGGGCATGTCTGGGGGATTGTCTTGATTGTTAAGTAGATGTGGGAAGACCCAGCCCATTCTGGTGGCACCATTCCTGGTGTGGGGCTCTGGACTGTCAAAGAGTAGAGAGAGCTAGTTGAGTACTGAGCAAGCAAGCGAGAGGGCACCCACACATTGTCTCTCTGCTTTTGATTGTGGATGTGATGCTTCAAGTTCCTCCTGCCTTGGCTTCCTCTCAATGATGAACTGTAACTTGGAATTGTAAGCAAAATTTACCATTTATGGGTCTTGATCAGGTTTGTTTTCTCTTCCAATTAAAGAATTAAAAGTCAGGAAAAATCGTAGACACAGCAAAAAGCAATAGGTAACACGCTTTATTTAAAGTAAAGAAACACAGGCTGGAGAGATGGCTCAGTGGTTAAGACCACTGGCTGCTTGTGCAGATGACCTGGGCTTGGTTCCCAGCACCCACATGGTGGCTAACAACTGTCTGTAACTCCAGTTCCAGGGGATACGACGCCTTCTTTTGACTTCTGCAGACATTGAATGACACAGGCGCACTTACATACATGCAGGTAATGCACTCATACACATAAAATAAAAATAATAAACATTTTTTTAAAGTAAAGAAACACACACACATATGTATACTCATGCAGAGAGAAAGCCTCTGCACAGTGGAGAGGGGACTCAGAAGCTGAAGAATATAGACATGAAGGACCTTTTCAGTACTATTTTTGGTGGTGTGGGGGCAGCTTTCCCTCACTTAATTCTGGATCGGTCAACTTCTATAAAGAAGAGGGTCAACAGATCACAGCTCCAAACTGAGATAGCCCAGGACTAGCCTCTGTCTTAGCTAAACTGGTCTGGACCAGTCAGCTGGAAGGGGGGCCCTGCTGTGCCAGGGTGGTGGTTTTGTTACTGTCCAGTGGCCCTGTCCGCTTGTCAGGGATTTGGTTCCTCACAAATAAACTCTTCTCTATGCTGTTTTTTTGTCAGGATATTTTGTCACAGCCACAGAAATGAAACTAGACCTGAGTTAACCATGGGAAAACAATGTGTTAAAGGTGGGATTTTATAGTCACATACCACTATTTTTGTAATATGTTTTATATTATTTTCATGATTCCCACAGTCTACTAAAATATGAAATTTTCTGCTCCCTGTTACAAAGCAAGCCACAATAAGTATACATGTGCCTCTCACTTAGCAGCTATATATTCAGACTACTTTTTGGATGACTGATTTTGAAATCACACATATTTAAAGTTTGGTCCTAGAGGAATACCACTCTAGAGAACACTGGGATAATTTTGTATTACTCAAAAACATTGAAACAGAGTTCATTTCTCGTGGTAGAATTCCAATAGATTTCATGGCCAGGCGTGAACTATCAGATCTCTCAAGTGGGATTTGCGGGAATGTTCCACCAAACGACAAGGCTTGCCAGTTTGGGAGGCAAGACCTTTTCCAGGTACATAAAGGAAGTGTGTTGGAACTTGTCAGCCAGGAGCAGCACCGGGTTTGGGCACGTCCCTAGAAATTCACTTTAGGGCTGTGATCACCTTCGACTTGGGAAGACAATAGGACCATAAGGGCACTGGTGGGCATTCGCCACCCTCTGTGGGACAATGACTATGACTTGGAAAGACAGAGGATTTCCAGGCTCCGAGTGGTAGATGAAGGGGGCTGGTCAGCTGACAGAGTCAAGGCAGGATGGCTCTCAGTTTCAGTGCCTGGACAGGAACCCACTGGGTTATATAGGGAACCAGTAGTCAAAGGTGAAGAGTCAGAATTGAGAAAGTACTTGGAGATGCAGGCAGGCAGAGGAAGCCAGAGTCAAAGCTCTAGGGAAATCTGAGGAGCAGGAACTAGCCAAAAGGATGAACAGCAAATGGAGATGAGAAGAGACGTGATGCCACAATGGAAAGCCAGATGCCCAGAGAGAGAAAAGTGACCCCACATACCACTCAGAATTGGTTTCTGGGGCAAGGATTCTTCCCAGGGTTTTGGCCATCTGACACCCGAGGAAGCCAGAGTCAAAGCTCTAGGGAAATCTGAGGAGCAGGAACTAGCCAAAAGGATGAACAGCAAATGGAGATGAGAAGAGACGTGATGCCACAATGGAAAGCCAGATGCCCAGAGAGAGAAAAGTGACCTCACATACCACTCAGAATTGGTTTCTGGGGCAAGGATTCTTCCCAGGGTTTCGGCCATCTGACACCTACCCGGGCAGTGTGGCTCAACACACGGGGCTATACGTGTGTGGCCATCATGGATGCCTGGCTTGGGGCTGATGGAACCCCTACCCTATCAGCAGCAATTGGCAAGAAGCAACAGCTTTGCTGAACCTGTTACCTGTGATAAGGCGAGATAGGCGTCCTGTGCAAAGGTGGGGGAATGGAATAAGCCATGCGAACCCCTCAGCTTAGCCCTAAATGGTTGCCACTATTCCTCCGAGAACAGAGGGCTTTGGCTGGCCTGAGCTGTTCCTGCTTCCAGGGGAGAGAAATTATGCAGGAACGACAGGACTCTAGAAACTGTGCCGGGAGCCGGCATGGTGAGCAGGGAGGAAGTCCCGGCTCCTGGGAGCAGTGATTACCATCTGAGTGCGGTCAGAGCCAAGAGCACCTTGGGACAAGACAGCTGTGGGAAGATGGGATGTGAACACGCAGCTCCAGTTCCTAAAGTGTGGGTCAGGTCTTCAAGCCACAGACATCAATCACGGTCCTTTGTGGAAGAAGCAATCCTTATCACCTTGTACAGGTGAGGTGGGCCCACCTCATTTCCCAGATAGACTCTGAGGTCGGCAGGTGTTGGGTGGGCCAGAATCCGGCTGGATTCCAGCAAGATCCAGTTGAGTCTTCTCTCAACTCACCTACCTCCTACCAGAGAGAAAGGTGAGCTGAGCTGGGCAGGACTATTAGAACCCCCATTTTACCACGCTGTACTCTCTACCATCAGGATATGTGGGAAAAACTGTGGATGATGCAAGGGCAGGTACTTGAAAACCACAGTGCCGAAAGGACCAACATTTCTTCTAGGATGCATCAACTGGACTCATAAGGACCAGAAAAGACTTGGATTTCAAAGGCAGGGAGTGTTCATAGAACTGACCCCTCCATGTGTTCTCCCCTGGGCAGACCAGCCACATGAAAAGTGGTTCAGTGACCGGACCACAGGGCACGGGATGGATGGTGGCACTGGATGGAGCCAGTCTGAAGATGACAGCAGAGGTGACGTTGAAGTCCAAGGGGTGACATCACCCAGTCAGACGGGGGACCGGCCTGGAACTGAGATGTGGAATCAAAGGGAGAAAACCTGAACCAGGTGGGTGGGTGTCGGAGCGCAGCTGGTGCTGGACAGCCTGGGCTGAGTTTTTTTATTTTGAGACAGTGTATGTAGTGCAGGCTGGCTTCAACTGCAGCTCTTCCCATCCCAGAATCTTGAGTGCTGGGATTGTGAGTGTGAGCCACATCTGGCTTATTCTTCTGAACTTTCATAGAAAGTAGAGTTTTGGTTAGCCTATAGTGTGTGTTTGCCAAAGGCACACCAGATTATGATGTGCTCATTTGAAGGTAAATACTTATGGGGGGTTACTGGAGGGTCAATGTTTAAGTGGATATTGGGAGACAGGAGGGGTTTGGGGGTGGATATGATCAAGGTACATTGTGTGAAGTTATCAAAGAATAAATAACATACTCTTAATAGAAAGTAATATCCTGAAATGCATATTATATTAAACTGTGGGACAGTCTAAAATGTAGGACTAAAAAACCAGATGCTTCTGATTTTGAGACAGGGTATTACCGGATAGCCCAAGCTGGCCTTGACCTAGAAATCCTTAGCCTTCAAAGTAATAGCATTCGGGTGTTTGCCACCACGCCTGGCTCAGATGTTTCTTTTTGCACGTTAAAAATTACATGCTTTTCCCCTTGAAAATAGTGGAAATGACTTTATTTGCCCTTTAGTGCTAATTGCTAATAATAACAACTTTCAACAGATTTTTGATTGACAGGATTAATAATCTTTCAACAACAACAAAACTTACTGTTACATTAAGACATTTGGAAGCAAGTAGCTTTGTGGTTTATTGGGTCCTACTTTTCAATTTTGCTTGACAGATTCACTAGAATCTGAGAACAGGGCCTTCAGAAATAAAAGGAGGGCTGAATGCTTGACAGAAAGGGAACGAGGGCATGGTTATTTGTGAAACAGTCACAGTAACATATTCACATGCTGCAGTCGCAGCTACTGTTTAAAATGAAGCGGCTCAGGGAACGTTCGGGATTTCCCCTCCAGAGGGTCTCAATGGGCTGATTTTTCCATCAAAACTCTGCTTTCTCATGACGCTCAGCACAGGGCACTTTTCAATCCCTCCAGGAATTTCACGAGCATTTCTAAATGCAGGAAGCTGTTCAGGACCCTCAGAGGGCAACGATGCCCTCAGTCCCCCGCAGCTAGAATGAGCTTTTATCCCAAGAATGTGAAAAGCAAGGCCAGGGCCCTTTCACATGGGGGAGGGCGGTCCACAGAGAGGGCCGAGGGGGCGGCGTTAATCTCAGTGATTAAAATGCTAATGTCTTATTTGAAAAGGCAAACCTTTGATTTTAATGAAAAGAGTTCTAAGATGAAGAGATTCGATTTCTTTAAGTTCCCAAAGATCTGGCAGATGACACAGCCAAGGCCAGGGCATCCAGGGAGAGGACACCTGAGGCCTCAGGAGGCCTCCAGCCAGATGCCGCTCTGCTTCCTGCCTAGAAACAGCACACAAGAGGCTGGAGGGTTTCAAGGCTTTCTAGGGAGGGAGGGTTGTTGCACAGGCTGCAAGATCTAGCTTCCCATGGGAACGACACATTTTCACCCAAGTTCACTTTTGCTTTTTGTTAAAAGGAAATGCGCACCCTTTGCTGGTAATAGAGTATGTTAAAAAGAGCGTAAAAGCTGTCTCCCAGTCAGGCTGTCTGACGTGTTCATTTCCACACTCACCCTCCAGCATTAAGTAGACTCAGCAGTCCACTATGATGTTTCAGAGCTGACCCCCAGGCCGGGCTGTCCTCAGCAGGTCATAGAAGACCCTGGACCCTCTGTGGGACGCTGTGGGGAACACGACACACACTACAGGTAGCGCAACATCACTCCACAAGTGTGGTGAGAACAGAGGGCAGGGTGGACACAGGTAAGGAGGAGACTGTCACTCCACAGGGACAAGCATGTGAGCAAGGGGGTGCAGGGCAGTGTCTTGACAAGCAGCATTCTCCTTCTGACACACAGCTGGCATGCTAGAGGAGCGGGGTCCGGTGTCGAGGGAGGACCTGACCTGGGGCTCTTTCATCCTTCAGGGTGCTCTCCTAGAATGTTCAGACACCAGTTTTTGCATGCCTAGCACCACTGGGAGACCTTGTGTTCTCCCCCGCTCTTCCTCTGCCCTGGTTTTCTCCATATAGTTGTGTCAGGGAGGGGAGCCAGGCCTTGCACATTCTGAGGGTGTTTGTACATAGCCCTGCACACTCTGCAGTCCTTCCTGCTTGGGACATCTGGGAGGACGACTCCACCAAAGTGAGGGACAGAAGAGGAAGCGAGAGATGAGCCGGAGGTGAGCAGCGTCAGGGAGGGCCCAGGATGACCCTGTGAGGGCATGGCAGGCTCCCAGAGGGGGCTTCAGGAGAAAACAAGCGTGAAGTTATTGGGCTCTGAGAAGGGTAGGAAACCATCCTGCAGACTGGTGGTAGGCCTGTACATAAGCAGGAAGTGAGGTTGTTGCAAAGGCCAAAAGGTAAGGATGTGCAGTGTAGTGTCTCGGCAAGCCGTGTTCTTGTTCTGACACAAGCGGGTGCCAGGGGACCCTCGGCCAGCCCTTGGAGCCTGCAAGGTGGACCACTGAGATTCCTTCCTTGCTGGGCTCACTGCAAGGAAGTGAATTGCCCAGGTTATGGCACCCGCCTCCCCCATTCTCCACCGCAACATCCTGTGCACTGCAGACCTGCTGATGGCTGACAGCATCCCACCGTATCTAGTATACACTGGAGGCAATGTGTTTGCCGAGTGAATACAAGTCAGTCAGTGTTTCTGACAGGTGACTGTTCTGCACCATTGTGTGTAAAAGTTCAGATGAATCCTCAGACTGGGAAGGGGTGGGCTTCCCATCGGTCCCTCTAGACATGGCAGAGTACCGTGTTCCTCTCCCAGCTCCTGTGAAGACTGAACAAGATGAGCACCGAAAACACCCATCCATGCATGTCCTGGGCCCTGGTGTTTCCTGATCTCTTTGATCTCCTTCCTTCTCAACAGAATCAGATGCCAAATGCTGCCGATATCATGGCTGTCTCCAGCTTCCCCCAGAGTATCTTGTTGTCCTGCCTCTAGTACGAGAATATTCTCTGTAATACAACTGATGTTTCAAACCTGAAACTACAGCGAAACCATTGCTGAGAATGACTCAATTTATTGACATGAACACCCTTGAATCAAACACACACACACACACACACACACGCACATGAATGAGCGCTGTTCAAATAAGACCCACATTGGCAAAGAGGCCCATGACTAAGTAGCATTTGGAATTTTCTCCTTCACAGCCTGTTGTATTTCCCAGGAATTTTTCCCAACAGCCCTAGGGACCTGGCCATGCCAGCAGCTCATCTGGCGTTGAGATTCATCCCAAGGGTTCAGTGTAACTAAAGCGTTGGACAATAGTTCCAGCAAATTACGATGGTGCTATCGGAAAGAGCGGTCCTTAGGCTGTGGGCACAGGCAGGTTCTGGTTATGCTAATGAAGCTGAGCAACAGACAAAAGAATTTGTCAAAACTGAGACACGTCTCAGTCTAAGGGGATTAGGATCTGACTGTGCGTATGGAATCGATTTCCTTAACATAATGCCTCTTCATGCCACTAAGCCAGAGCCTGGCCAGTTGAAGACTTGGGGTGTAACAACAGGAGAAGTTCTGGTCTGTTCTCATCCTGCCCATGGCTCTCTCAGCATCCGTCCTGTTTCATTTCTGTGACAATCGCCATGACAAAAGCAACTTACAGTCCATCACTGAGGGGACTCGAGCAGCTGACCGCATCACAGCCACAGTCAAGAGGGGAGAGAAACACATGCACCTGATCCACCTGCTGGTTGCTGCTCAGGAAGCCCTCTCTGCTCACACAGTCCTGGGCTCAAAGCCAGGGAGTGGTACCGCCCAAGGTGGGCTGGGTCTTCCCACATCAGTCAACAGTCAAGACAGTCCCCCTCAGACAGGACCACACGCCAAGCTGATCTAGGCATTTCCTCAACTGAAATTCTTCCCAAGTGATTCTGGGTCGCATCAAGGTGCTAGTTAAAACTAACCATCATGCCAACTGTATGCCTTTAAGCAAGCAGAAGGCTCTGGAGAGGGACAGGTCATGGCTAGAATTGCACCTTGCGACACTTAAGACCTCTCTCTCCGCTGGATCTTGGGCTAGGTGTCATACCCAGTGGACAGGACAACCCCTTGGTACCAAGTACTCTCCTGGACTGACCTTTGTATAAGTTATTTCCTTCCTCCATCAAGTGAAGGAAAAGACTCGGTGACATTTTCCACTCCTCCTCTTCTTCCTGCTCAGAGCAGAATGTTATTGTTAATACAGGTATAGTTTATCTGTCAAGATAGACATCAAAAGGCACACACACTGTAGTTGCCAGGACTGGTTTATGTCACAGAGTCCCTGCTCTGTCCACCAGGGCAGCTCTCCTGATGGTGATTTGAGCATAGACTGCCACAGAAGCATGGATGGCCAGGCTCCCTGAGACATCCCCTGTCCACAGCACTGTCTCGTCATGTGATTTTTTTCCCCATAGTTCACAGCCCTGGTTTCCGTCCCACCTTGTAATGACTTGCTCTTTCGAGCCTGAAGCCCGAGTTCTCGGCTCAGGTCCTGTCTGCCTCCCTTCACCGTGTTCCAGTCAGCAGGCCTGGAACTACTTTGCACCCTGGGCCCTGCTGCATCCCGTGCCAGTCCTGGACTTCCCCATGCATCACTGCTGTCCCTTCCTCCCACTCACGTGTCCCTTCCCCGAGTGGATGTCAGCTACCACACACTCCTTTCCTGGGAAAGGATCTGGCTTCCATTTTGGAGTTAAGGTCTGTCAGAGCTCTGTACCCTGAGCCCCCAGAGAGCGTGCCCAACCGAATGCCCTTGGCTTCTGCCATTTCTGTACATGGAGATAGGGGACTGCCATCCACCTGGCACCTGCATACTGCACGGCTCTGCTCTGAGCCCCACAAGACACCCTCTGTCCTTCTGCTCCAGGTCCGTCTGCTCTTGATGGTGAGAGTCAGCCCTGTAAACCTTTACCCGGTGCTTCTGTTTAATAATGTTTGTACCACATCAGCTGATGACCAAGGTCACTGCTATTGTTACTGTTGAAAAGGGCCAAAGGAAAAGTGTTGGTCTGCATTATGCCCACAAGAATGCTCTAAAACTCTCTACATGCTCTGTGCACCTGGAGGAGGCGGGACAGTGTAGTGATGTAAGCATCTGTTGCTGGGACCCTGTGAGTCCCCAGGACACTGGACAACTGACTGTTCTTCCTTTCCTGGACACTAGTGTTGGGCTCTGTGGTGTACTTGATCACCACGTCTACACACCCAGCAGACTGCACGGCCTTTGCTCCTCCATCCCCACCTGTTTCCCCTTCCTCATACCCCACAGCCAAGTGGGCACCAAACTTCTGACTCCTACACTTTCTGGAGATGTTCCACATCTTACTGTCTTAGCTCTCTGACTGAACACTTGGGGGCCAAGTCCCAGGCCTGCAGCCCGTCAAATGCAGCCTTCCTAGCCCTGCTCCCCAGGCCTGCAGTGGGCCAAGTGCAGCCCTCCCTGCTGGCCTCGGCAGTCTTTGCACGTGCCTTTCCTGCTGCTGACGATGCTGTACCACACAGCAAGGGCTACTGGCCCGGACACAGTGGCATGTTCTTCCCTCTTCTCTTGCCCCTCTTCCTGGCCTGGAGGGCGCCCTCTAGTGCTTTCTGATGACTTTGGGCTCAAACAGGCCCCTTTCCTCCAGGAAACCTCTCTGGTGGCAGATGGACCTCAGTAGCCATTTCTCACCTGCCACTGACCGGGCTTCCCTCAAATTCTCACGCACCTTCCTTTCCTGTGATCACCCTCACCTCCCAGCAAACAGAGGGCCATGGAAAGTGGGGTGCCCCTCAGCCCTGGAACTACTTCCCAGCACACAAGGAGCCTTGGAGAGTCGGGGTGCCCTCAGCCCTGGAGCTCTGCACTTTTGCGCCTACGTAAGTACATAAGATATATGTCACAGACATTCGTTAGGTAAGAGAAGAACATAAAATGAAAATGCTTCTCCGTGGAGGAACAGATAAACACTGAACTGCGTCTTTGCACAGTAATGGGAAAGAATGAAGGACCAACACATCCCGCAAAGAGGACAAACCTTGAGGATCACAGAGCGAGGGGGGGTCAGACACAACGACCTCACCTGACAGCGTCCCATTTACATGAAGTGCTCAAGCTCTAGTTAGACTCTAGTTCGTCCCCAGGCCCGGAGAGCCTTCCTATGCTGCCTGACTGAGGTGGGCCATTCCTCCCACACAAGCCTGTCAGGTTGCAGGTGTTGGGAGGCTCCTGATCTCCTAGAGTTTTTGGAGAAGCAGGAGAGACATGAAAGCAAGACGTGCAAGGTGCTGAGTGGCTGTCCAGGCTGCTCCTACAGTCAGAGAAGGCCTCCTGGAAGCACAGCCTGTAATGCATGGAAGGGACTACCTGCCTTGCAGAACCTGGAAGGAATCTGGTTCCAGAAACACCAGGGCTGAGAGCCCGGGAAGCAGCTAACCTGGCCTGCGGGACTCACAAAGCTCGCTGGTTAGGAAGCCCATCTCGGATGCAGCTTAGCCCAGAGGTGCCTGCAGTCCTACCCTTAGATACTGTGCTGAATAGCGTCCGTTGTCAACTTGACACACCTGGGTTGAGGAAGCCTCAGTTGGGGAATTTCCTCTATTGGACTGGCCTGTGGCCTTATCCGAGGGGCATCTTCTTGATGAGTGATGTGGGAGGGCCCAGCCCACTGTGGGTGGTGCCACCCCTGGGCAGATGGGTCTGTGTTGCATAAGAAAGCAGGCTGAGCAGCGTTCCTCCATGGCCTGTGCTCCAGGTTCCTGCCCTGAGTTCCTACCCTGGACTCCCTGATGAATTGTGACCTGGGAGATGTAAGACAAATCAACCCTTTCCTCCCCAGGTTGGTAGTGGTCAGACTGTTCTGTAACAGCACTCGAAGGCAGACTGAGATAGCAGAATCCCAGTCTGGCTTTTGTCTGGATTCTCGGCTGAGGGACTCGCACTTCTTTCGTGTATTTATCAGTCATTTGTTTCTCCTTTCTCCTTTCCTTTTGTTGAGACAGGGTCTCCCTGTAGCCCCAGCTGGCCTGGAACTCACTGTGTAGACCAGGTTGCCTTGATCTCACGGAGATCCATGCACCTGCCTGTGCCTCCCACCAGACTGCTGGGGTTAAAGGTGTGCACCACCGCACCCAGGGCCCACTATACTTTTTCGTTTTGATTTCTCGAGATTTTCATTTCTAAAATTTCAATTTGGTTCTTTTCTTTCTTCGGAATTTCAGTTTTCCCACTGGGCTCATCCAGGGTTCCAGCTCCCCCCCTTCCTTGTTTCCTTTATCTGCTGTGCCCTCTTTGAAGCCACAGGACATTTTTACAGTAAGGGTTTTGAAATGTTTTTTTTCTTTTGGCATTCCAACCCGTTCAGGATCTTTGGATTTAGTCACTGAGGATCTGGGACCCTCGGGAGGAGTCACACTGCCTCTCCATGTTTCTCGTGTTTCTGTGTTGCGTTTTGTGGGTCTGTTGAGCTGTGCATCTCTGGTTTTATTTGGGGAGTTTTCTTAGTGAGGAGGCCTACTCTTAGGGCTCAGTCCCAGCACCACTCAAAGAGTAGACAATACTAGCAACAGTACCACCACCAAACCCAGACAGACATGGAAATAAAATTAAAATCAACTATAGGCAATGATTATGTTACTGATGACCACAGTACAGTGAATGGAAAGGAGGAGGAAGAGAGGGTAAAGGAGGAGGGGGGAGGGAAGGGAGGAGGAGGGGGAGGAGGAGGGGGAGGACTTCAGGGAGGGCGCGCTTTTGGCGCAGCAGAACAGTAACAACAGAGAGAAATGGACATGGGACGTCTGAACCGCACAGGTCGGGCTCTGAAAAATGCATACCGCTCAGGGGAGCTGGTGTAAAACACGGGGCACAAACATACAGGTTTGCAAAGGGAGAGGGTGACATAGAGGAAGGACTCACACAGACAGATGAGAGGGAGGGAGACAGGGTGAGAGGGAGAGCCCTGGGAGGTCGCAGAGCTGCAACCTGGCGGCCGGCCGCACTTGGTCAAAACGCAGGGCAGAGCTGCAGGACTGGCCGCTGTTGGCTGGGACGGGGGACGGGAGCCCTATGGGGCGGGGGTGGGGTGCTACCTGCTCTGACCAGAGCTCCCTTCTCCCAGGCACTTGTCTCTCTTTACACATTCTGGGCTATTTGTGTGCTGCTTGTTACGCCCTGGGCTGAGACACCCTCAGAAGACACCATCTTGCAGCTGTGTCTCGCTCAGTACAAAGCCAGCACAGTGCCTCCTGTAGAGCAGATGCCTGAGGCGCGTGTCAAAGTAACACCTGGCATCTACACAACCTGATTTCTATAGCACAAAGCAAGCTCTTAAGGGCAAAAAACATTGAGAGACGAGTTTGGGAAACACCTGATCCTGGTGGTTTTAAATAGTGAACTCTAGACATTCCCACGACTTGACAGGGCTTTCCATGCAAAAGGACATAATTGACAGTTACATGAGACGCCTTTTCTCACTGAAGGAGAGAGGTGCTGGGAAGTCTCTGCTCTTGAAATGAATTTTTCTTTGATAAAGAGTCTTCAGCCTGCTGGAGTAAATGTATTTCTTTGGTTGCTGTTCTAAGCATTTTACACATCAGTCCTCTGGACAATTACTATAGAATTTTCCACAAGGGAGTTTGACACCCCATTTTGTTTTTTCTTTTTGATCTTTTTGAGACAGGGTCTCCCTGTAACCCCAGCTGGCCTGGAATTCACTATGTAGACCAGGCTGGTTTTGAACTCACAGAGATCTGCCAGCCTCTGCCTCCCAAGAGCTGGGATTAAAGGTGTGTGCCACCTCACCTGGCCCAACTCTACCATCTTAATCCTAAAGCTATTTATTTTCTCATGTGATATGGCACCTTCTTGACCATAGCTATGCCATATTGAAGGTTAGGCTGACTCTAGCCTCTGAAATTATCAGGTAGTTGGCCCAAGATATGGGAACGCACATCAGCAGGACCCCAGGTTGTCTTGGGAAACAGGTCAGCATGTTCTGGAATGCACCTGCTAACTACAGATTTATGGCTGTAGGTTATGCTTGGTTTGCTTCGGCAAAATAGTAATTGTTCTTTAACAGAATAGAAATTGTTAAGGGGGCTTTTCACCTCTAAACTCGGGAACTTAAACTTTTCACCCCTGGTTATGGTTTTTCTGTATAAAAGCTCACCCTAGAGACAGCTCCGGGCTGCC